CCCCAAAACCCCAAAACCCCAAAACCCCAAAACCCCAATTTCGTTCAAAATAATCGAACAACTATTATCAAAATTCAAAACTTAACATCTCTACTACTCAGCATCAGGGAACAAGAAGAACTCATATTCATTATTCTTCACGTATCCTAAGCAAGAGATGCTCTTGATTGTGCAGCTGGTGTAGGTCTCTCCCTCTGCCACTGAGTATTCGTCTATCGCCTCTTCACAGTAAATTTCTTCAATGGCTGATACCTCACCCACAACTATCATTTTAAACTTATGCAGCAGTGTCTGTAAGTTAGTCTTGATACTCTCTGTGTCAAGATATATCTTCTGTGGCAGCTTCTGCTTTAGGATCTTCCTCTTAGGGCTCGAACCAATGAAACTTTCGTCTTCTGACTGAGATGAGAATATTAAGGGGATGTATCTTGGGAAATCAGAGTCATAATCGCGGATGAATATTCTTCTGTCGCCTACTTTTAGCTCACCAACGGTTACATCTGGAGTTAGAGACATTGAGATCAATGGAGAGGGACTTGTATTATTCTGAGAATAACTTTCTTGTAACTTGTGTAAGAGGTTGCCGTTCTGTTCTTTGTACTCACTGATTTCCAATTGAAGATCAGTAATTACTGTATTTAGTTCATTCTTTTCAGCAAGTGCTTCTTCTCTCTCCTTCTTCAACTTCTTAAACTGTTCATCATCCTTTGAAATATTCTGGTCAATAGACTGATTAGCTAGTTCGATATAAGTCCTTAAAGACTCTTCATTCTCCTTCTTTAGCTTATCTACCTCGATACAGAGAGTTTGGTTGCTGGATCTGAGGAGAGAATTTTGTGCCATGAGATCCTTCATACTGTTCTCACAAGACTCCTTTTCAATCTTGACTTTCTTAATTTTCCTCTCATAATCTTCGAGAACTTTCTTATCAATCTTTTCTTGGGCTGCTTTTTGGTACTTCAGTTTGTAATATCGAGACTCCTTCAAAGCTTCTGTGTAACTATCAAGGAGTTTCTTATGATCTTTCTCAGCTCTGAGCTTTTGAATTTCTACCTCTTTGTAATTATCCTCAAGCTGCTTCTTGTCCCTCATTTCTTGCTTGTAAAGGTCCTCATAGTGCTTCACTTTGGCTTCCTGTGTTGAAACCTTTGCACTCATCATAGCGAAGTTAGTTGAAGTCAGACTTGTGATCACCTGGTTTAGGCCCACTATCTTGTTCTCAAGGTTATCAATGGTTTCATTCTTATTAGAAATAGTGTTTTTAAGGCCCATTATTACATCCTGGGAATCCTGGAGGTTACCTTCAAAGTACTCAAGCACGATGGGAGCCTTAATAACTTCGGTTGCTTTCTCAATAGCACTTCTTCTGTCGTCAACGATGTCACTGACGAGGTTCTTGTACTTCAGTAGATTGCCCTCATTTATTGTATTCATTCTATATTTAACACAAGAAAGTTACTTTTCAAATTCCTCTGACTTTTGGTTCCTCAGTTGGATTATCTCTTGCTCTTTGAGTCTGAGCTGAGCTTTGAGTAGTTTCATCTCGTCCTGGAGAATAGACATCTTCTTCTCTTGTTTAAGCTCCTTATCCATCTCTTCTTGCAAGATTTGGATTTCTTCGGTCTCAACATCTGTGACTAATGGAACATCTTGGCTTCTCTCAATTTTCATATTGATCCTGTCACTCTTGAGTAGCGATGTAAGAGGGTTCTCAGGTAAGGATTCTCCCACTTCAGTGATGAATTTATGACGCTTGGAGTTCTCACTTGCAATCATCCTGGAAAGTTGTTTCTCCTTTGGTCTCAAGTAATGCTCAAATCAGTACCTTCTGCCAAACTCTTTGACGATTTTCTCATGGATCTCAGGCAGATCTGCCGTTCTGAGAAGATATTTACAGCTCTTTTCAAGATCTTTACAGTTTACTATCAGCTTTTGGGTTTTGTAAGAAATTGAGTTTGCTGTTTTAGAGACTAATTTTTCCACCATCCTCACTATTTTCTCTGCATTTCCGATCTGCATCTGCTTACAGCTTTCAATAAAGTTGTCCATCTTCTGGTGATGCTCTTCCATAGTGCTCTTTAGCTCCATATATTGGTCCAACTTGTTCTGGTGACTCTCGTAATTCGAGAGAAAAATCTGAGCCTCGTATTTATCATCATCTGTTGAAGTAATTGACTCCATTATGTTCAGGTTTTTATGGAACATCTTTATATCCATACCCATACCTGATACAATACTCCATGTTGCGTAAAATAAGTCTTGAATACTACTGGAATGCTCCTGAAGAGAGGCAGCTTCTCCCATCTCTTCATCACCGAGATCTAATGATGATAAGCTCTGGTTGGCATCGCAAGATTCTATTGTTTCTTCGAAAGCTTTCACCTGGTCTTTGACTTTATTTAAGATCTTCTCTTCTAGCATCCCTAAATTTGATCATTTCTTGCTCTTTGATATAAATATCAGAGAGGTATGTCATTCCTTCCCTCTGTAGAGCATCATGAAGAAGTGTTTCCTTGTTATGCCTGTTTGCAGCTTCAAACTTGATCAAAATTTCATTACATCTCTGAATTGTTGATTTGAATTGATCAACCAACTGCTTGGAAGAGTCTTCTTGGATACTTTCCTTTAGGCTGTTCGAGTAATTTCTTAACAGATTGGAACAAATTTCTTGAAGTTTGATCTCCTCCATTGCCTTGCGACTCCAGTCCTGTTTAGACCTCAAACTGATGAAAGAGTCAAGGCATGCATTGTAAATCTGGAACATATGCTCTTCGAATTGTTGCACCTTCGGAATATCAATGTCTTCCTTAAGGCTGAGTAGAGGTTTAAAGTTCCATTTATCTTCCATGATCTCATCCAAAATGTTCTTATCTTTGGCTTCTATATATCAGAAAAGTTCATTACCTTCAAGGGTTAATTCATGGATTTTAAAGTATTTGGAAAGATAGAGCTCCTTGATATCCTCCACTGTAGCGTAACTTTGATTGAATACGACGATTTTACTGCCAGAATCTTCGATACTAGACTCTCTAATCTCTTTGCATTCATCCAAATCTAGGAGCATTAACTTATCTTCCTTCGAAATCGTGAAATCTTCACGTAACAAGTGGTTCTTAAGGCTATAATTGGATTAGAAAGACTCTTAAGTTGAAGAAATTACCTAGTCATTGCTGAGCGGTGATCAATTTGGAAATTTATCTTCGCTCCGAACTCTCCTACAAAAAGCGTCTTGGTTTTTCCCTCCATTTAAAAATATTTAAACTAAATTATGATAAATTAACAAAAGGGGTTTTGGGGTTTTGGGGTTTTGGGGTTTTGGGG